CGATCACGGGATTGTGCTTCTTGAGCCAGTGATGCCCGATGATCACGTCACTGTTCCCGGTGTCCGTGATGGCGAACGTCAGAAGTTCGGAGTGATCCTGAATGGTGACTCGTAAGCGGGTAACGTGGGTGATTGCCCCGTCGGCGTTGATCGTCCCGTCAGCGTTGTACACTGGGACTGGGTGCGGTAGGGCTTCGAGTTCCAGTTGCGAGTCCTCCGCGAATGTCAGGGGATGAGGGTCCAGGTGCCTAGTTGATACCAAAGCCGGGGGAACAGCCCCACGGCCAACTACTTAAGTACAGGGCTATCTGCGCACGGATCAGTCACGTGATCAGTCACAGCTGTCACATCACATGCTCCCCTTACAGCGAACCGCTTGTGCATGAACTCGGAGGTGGCGCCACTGTCGAGGAGGGCGTCAACCGAGTACCCGCGGAGGTCGTTGACCCCTTGAAGGGTGACGGCTACCCGCGTAGCCGTGGTGCCTTCACTTTTCCGAAAGGGGGGAGCATTTTGCAGTTGTCGCAAAGCTTCGGCTACGTCGGGGGCGTACCCCGTTCGTATGAACTCTTCTAGTTCGGGCCCGTTCTCGGCTCGTCGGGCCGGATGTATCCACTGTTGTAGTTTCGCACGAGCCTTCTCGGGCTGGTCTCGAATTTGCGCGACAAGCCTCTCGGCGCTGGCCGCGGACCAACTTTTCCAAGCGGGCTCGGAGTGTCTCGTATGGTTTTATGCGGGTTTTTTCTGCGGGCGGAAACGGTGGGTTGCGGGGTTTGTTGTTCGGGGTTGGTTTCTACGTCTGGTCCCACGTATCTCTGGATTGGCAACACGGAATATTGATTATGCGGGTTGTAACTAGAGACACTTGTGGTATACGTCGGCGAGGGCGTAGGCTTCACTCGCGACGATTGCCAAAATCCGCTTTATCCGCGTTATCTTTGACAAACTCGGAAAAGATAGCCCGGATCTGGTTTGCCGATGCGGCCCGGTTCGGGCACATCCGACTGATGTGTCCTTCCTGGCCGCAGTTGTAGCAGCGAGTGCTGCGGGCCGTAGCGGGGGCCTGGGCCCGGTCGATCTCCATAGGCGCGGGCCCCGTCAAGGGTCCGGCGACCGTGGTTGCCCCGTTTCCTCGGGGTGCGGCCACGGTCGGTCCAGTGGCGCTGATCGCTGCGTTTCGGGCCCACCCGTTGAACAGGTTGCGGTTGCTGAGCCCGCTCTTGGCAGGGGCGGGCGCCGTCGGGGGCGTTTTGGCCCGAGGGTGGTTAACCTTGTGGCTTTCGTCGAAAATGCGGTAGCGGCGGAGTGCGCCGTCTTGCTTGATGGCCTCTGCCTTCCAGGCCTCGTAGGTGTCAGGGAGCGTGTCCTTTCGGTAGACCGCGTTCGTAACGCCCCGGAGCATACAGTTCTTGGCGACGCGGAATAAGGTTAACGTCGTCGTAGTGCGCGACTTTGTTGAGAGAGTCGAGGACCGTGAAATAACTAGTCGCGTCCATGTCTTTGGTCTGGACGAAGGTTTCCATCTTCTGCTGCGCGATTTCGGCGTGAGCTTCCCCGCGGAAGGCCGCGATGAAGGCTTTCTCGAAGCCTTCGTATGTAGTATAGGCTGCGGCGGTACGGAGCTTCATGGCTTGGGAGACGTTTTCCTTCCACGTGACCGCGTTCCCGCCTTTGATATAGGAGAGTGCGTACGAAATCTTTCGCACCTCGTCGTTGTAAACGTTCGGGTTGGCTTCGAAGGCCAACCAGCAATCGGCCAGGAAGGCGTCTACTTCGCTGGCGTCGCCCGTGAACTCCTTAGGGGGAGAGACGGTTACTCGTGTATTTCCCCCGTGGGGCCGATGAGCCAAGTCCTCTCTGGCTTGGCGGAGCAGATCGTAGCTCTGCATGACTCCCTGCTGTACAGCTGCATATTCCCCGTTTACTCGGGACAGCTCGGCCTCGAGGACCACTTGTCGATTCGTCAGGGCGGTGTTTTCCGCCTTGAGTTGCTCCATCTCCTGACTCGTTCGGAACAGATGGGCGAACAGGAACTCCTGTTGTTCGTTATGGCCCAGGGCCATGAATCGGGCACGTTCGTCCCCCTGGCTTGCGGGGGTGCCCATCGTACTGTCGTGCTCGGTAGACATTTGTCGCGCTTCTTGCGTTCGTGGGGGAGGCTAATATTCTGTCAGCGTCGGGCTCGGGCCGTATCGGGGCGTTGGGGGGTCCGACTTCGAAGGGGTCTGAGGAGCACGAGAGATGGGTATTTGCCCGGAGAATAGACGATATTAGCCTAGCGACTACATCTTGTAAGTACGACTTTTATACGCTACGGTATTAGGGATGGATCGGATGGGCGCCAGGTCCCAGGGCGGATCGGATAGGCGCTGCGTAGGGCCGCAGGGGTGAACGGAAGGGGTTGGAAGAATGAGGGGACGTCCAGGAGGACGGCGGTATACGGGCCCGTTCGGGCCTGTTCGGGCCCGGACGGCCCGACCCGAACCGTGACAACCATTACTCTCAAGTCAAGAATGTTGAGGGTTAGGAGTTGAAGCAGCTTTTGCCAATCTGGAGGAGCGATTAGCAGCGGAGGATGAGGACCCGGAAGATGGACCTGGGCCAGAACCTGAGGTGGACTCTGAGGAGGAGCTACTATCACAGATGACACTGTCGTTGGCAAAGAAGACAGCTGGGAAAAAGAAGGCTAAGTCAGCCAGTCAGCTGTCACTGATGGGCAGTGATATCTATGAATTTGATCTGGTCTAGAAGGTGCTGGAAAGTGTCATTCCCCAGGCAGAGGTCCAGAAAGTGAATGTAGTGCGGGATGGAGATGATTCAGACTCAGATATTGAACAATTCTTGTAGTTTTATAGCTTATGCAACAAAAAAAATTGTCTTGTGAAATCACGTGCTTATGAAATCACGTGCTTTTTGCCACTTGGCAATAAACTGGCAATATCCATTTTGCCATTCTGCCAGGCAAAAAAAATCTCAAAATCAATTTGCCATGTGCACTAACTGGGGCGCATGTTCCCCATTGTCACGTGCTGCGTGCTACAGGCCTGTGATGGCCCGACACCAGCGCCCGAAGCGGACGGGCCAGGTCTTATCCATGACAATAAAGGCCTTTGACTGAAAGGCCTTTGCCCATTTAAAGGTTTCAAGCTGTATGTCATTAAAATGAGTGAACACTTGGAAATCACCAATATTGTTTAATCTGCTAGTTTCAGAAGCGATAAAGGAAAAGAAAATAAGAGGAAAAACAGAAACATCATATGCACCTCAAAAACTCATACTATTCTAACTTCTTAACTAATCAAACCACTTCTCAGACTATTTTATATACAAATATCACTATTTACCTCTGTTATTCTCTAGGGAAAAGTGCCTCCTGCGTTGGCCAAGGTAATATATTTTCCCTCAATATTATATATATTATAATATATATACCGTCCAATGCAAACTTTACATACTATATACCTCTCTCTCTTAAGTACACTGCTTGACAATCTCCTGAGAACCACTGAGTATCTGGACCTTTACCATTAGGTTCTGTTTCAAGTTAACTAAGGAACCTGCATCTTCTTCACATATTCTATAGTATTGGGGGAGTATAATATTGAACTCAAATGGTTCAGGTCCTATCTTGTCCACCTTGTATTGAAGGACACCTGCCCTATTGCTAATTGCATCCAAGAAAGGATGGATACTGATCAGAGATGTCTCTGATACATCAATTTCCAGTGTCAATGCTGTGAGAGCAGGGAGGAAGGATGGGTCTGCAAGACTGTTAATAAAAGTTTTCTCCCCTTCCTCTCCTATATATATCTGTGTCGTCAGGTTCTGCAGAGTTTGTGCCAGAGTGGCAGATTCAAGAAGGGACAACATAATCAGTGGCTGCCACTGATAACGAGGTGAGAGCAGCTGCAGAGCGGGATAGGCAGTGATCAAAGTAAGCCAGTGCCTCTCCAGTAGGGACTGTGTGGAGATGTAGAGTTGTCAGAAGTGGGAGGGTCAAATATCGCCAAATGATACAAGTTTCTCCAGCCAGGGATAGTGTTGTAAGGGAGCCCAGATGGATGTTGATGTCTTGATTGAATTGTGGGCCCCAATGTCCTGTAGGCAGATGTAGCTCTTCAAGTGCCTTAAGTTCTGGAAGCAGAGAGATGATTTCACGCAGAATGACTGGCCGGAGGATGGTGAGCTTGCGGAGCTGATGAGCTGGGAATCCGAGCTGAAGGACAAGTCTTGGGAAGCTGATAGACAGCTCATGAAGACACGGTGTATATGCAAAAGCATGCGTATCATGAAAATCACAGACATCGAGCGTGAGCTTTGTTAGCCGTGCAAAGCCCAGTGGAGTCATGTGTGGGCGCATTCCCAGGAGGCTTGGCCATCTATCGCTGGATAGGTTAGCCACTTTCCATTGCGGAGTGGAGAGAAAGAGGTGATAGGGCAGCCTTAACAATGTGATGCCCTGATCATCCACATTATCCATGAGTGAGATTGTGATTGGGAGTTGTTGAGCGCGGGCCGCGAAGTGTGCGAAGAGGTCGTCCTGCTGGCGCCACTCGGTGCTGATCTGATAGTAGGTCGTCGTCCAAAGACGGGGGTCGGCGATGGCGGTTGCGCGCCATCGGCTGCAGACGGATGTGATGCGCAACAGCACGTTGGTGACGTCGCTGCGCTCGCATAGGGACACGGCAAGCGTGAATATGTGGCAGAGAATCTCGGCAGGAAGGGAGTTGACGGTCTAGTGTTCGGATGTCTGGAAAGGGTGGGGCCGCAGATTGGGATGATGGTCGATAGTACTAAGACCGGGTAGTGCTAAAGGGGAGAGGCCTATGCTTGAGGCGACGTTGGTAGGAGAATGCATTGAGCGGGTAGTAAGCGTCGTGAGGCCAAGTGAGGGTCAAAGCCAAGTCAGCTGATGCGTGACTCATCATCGTCACGCCACACAGCCTTCCTCATCTTCGTCTCTCTCTCTCATCCATACTCTACCCTCTGCTCTAAACTCAATGAAACTCTCAATCCTGACCTTCGTCGTTGCGAGTGTCGGCCTCGGTGCGTTTCGCCGTCCCCACCCCTTATCGCTCTGACTCATCGTGTGCTGTTACAGCGGCCGCCTCGCCGATGCGGGTCGTTATCGTGTCAAGCCCAGGCACAGGCGGTGTGGAGGGCGTGGCTGAGCTCATCCGCCCGCTCCCAGCCGCCAGCATGAGCCTCCCACGCCCTCACCTCCCCTTCCGCCCGATGCCCATTGTCGAAGGCGGTGTCGTCGTCACCCCCATGCCCTTCGTCGAGGCCCAGGCCAAGAAGCCCTGTGGCAGCCACAGCGCAGCGCGTCTCCGCCAGAAGGCCGCCCAAGTCATTGCTGCCTTCAAGAACGCCTTCCACCACGCCCACCAGCCGGAGGCGGCAGCGACAGTGGCAAACGGCCGCACTCCAGGCGGCGACCGCCTCCAGGTCATCCATCTCGACCCGGTCATGGCCACTCCCACTCCCATCGCCGGACCCGTCGACGAGTCGCAGTTCTTCGACCGTCTCGAGCTCGCGCTGGGCCGTCTGGGTCCCTGGGAGGGTGGCCTTATGGCCTTCGTCATCGGTGCGTCGTCAACCTGGCAGTTTTCGTCCGTGCTAACTCTATTCAACAGGCTGTGGTATCGGCGTCCTCCTCCGCATGTTCTACATCCTCACCCTCCTCGCTGTCCGCGCCATCCGCGCTCCCTGCACTAAATCCACCGACGACTACTACTACGGCGATGTCGCGCTCGAGGAGGACGCTGAAGAAATCTTCGTCGCGCCCCCCATGTACACCGTCGCCGTCCCCGTCGTTGTCGATGAGAAAGCCGAGGAACGCAAGTAGACAGCGATCCAGGCTGGCTATAGCTACTTATCCCCCATAAATGTGATTTGATTTGACAATAAGGACTATCCCCTCGTTTGATTTTATTCTTTGAGCTCATTCTTTCTAGTATATGTCATATACAGAAAACACTGTCCTCCCTGCAAATCCCGACTTCACCGATTTCATACGCTATCACTAGCAGCCAATAGACGTGGCCTGAACCCTCGCAACTTCCCCAAAATGCAAGCAACACTGAGTTGGCTGGAGATATGCTATTCTGTGCCGCCGTGCGTACTACACGCGTGTGATCGAACGGAAGCCGGGTTGGCCTCGTGTCCTCCTGACGTTGCGGAACGGTTTTAGAACAGCGCTACGTTGGCTGGCTTGTGCTCTACCTGTAGAGCGCATAACCAGTGTGTGCCGCCGGGTTCACTTCGGTATTTTCGAGGGAGAAATTGGCCGCTTGAACATCATGGACCATCGACGACTTAAAATCGCTTCCTGGCTCAGCGAGGAGCGCTTTCATTTTCGCGATGTCCTGCACGCAGTCGAAGATGCAGTCTGCCATCGAACTGTCAGGGAACCGACCTCGAGGACTAGGAAACGCCTGGTACATAAGCCTACTTGTGTTGGATCGCTGCCCTTCTTTCTCGCCCCCCACCGTATACCGACCGTACCGCAATCTGAAGTAACGATGGCGTCAGAATCTACACCCGCCGCCGCCGTCGCACCTCCAAGTATCAAGGTCCGTCGCTGGTCCGCTTTCAATTCCTGTCGTTTTGAGACCGTCTGATGTCACAGCGCACGCCGACGCCCCAGATCGAAGAACAACGAGAGACCAGCTCCGCTCAGGCTGCGCGACCAGGCATTTGGGAGCGCATCTTTCACTGGCCGATGACAGCCTCCCAGTCGGGCAAGTCCGTGAGCCAGCCGACGAATGTTGAGGGGACGCATGTTGTCAACTTGAAGACCGAGAGCCTTGAGCTCCCGGAGCCACAGCCTGGAGAGGTGCGCATTACTTTACCCTCCCATGCCCGACACTGGATTCATTATTAATTATTTCAGGACGGTTATGAAACCACCATCAACATAAGTCCGTTCAAAGCCTCCTGCCGGGAGCATGCTCCTGTGTGGAAATCTTACATGGAGGTTGCCCAAAGTGTTGACAAGTCTCTCGCCGACAATTTCAATAGTGATCTCGACTCACTGCTCATTTTTGTAAGTCTGACTCTCACACGTGAAACATATTTGATTGTATCAAGGCTGGCCTGTTTTCCGCAATTCTTTCCGCCTTTCTTATTGAAGTCCGCAAGGGCCTCCGCGGAGACCTGGACAATGTGACAAATACTCTGCTTGATGCCATCGTCAAGCTACAAGAGGATCGGCTTGATATATCCCCTTTATCTTCTGACATATTTGTGCCAACCAATGCAGCTCGCATAGTCAATGGCCTGTGGTTCACCAGCCTGATTTGTAGTCTGTTCAGTGCACTAGGAGCCAGTGTTGCCAAATCTTGGGTCACCCAACTTTCAACAATGTCGGGATCAAGCTGGACTAATGCATCGTCTCATTGCCATCGTCTGAGAGGAATTCAGCGTTGGCACTTCTCTGGGCTCATACAGGTGCTCCCATTGTTCCTGCACTTGTCTGTGTTTCTCTTTGGAGCTGGCCTTGTTATCATCCTGGTGCATGATGACAAAGCAATTGGATATATAACCTTGATATTGACATCCATTGTTGCAATGTTGTATATTGCCAATGTGGTATTTTCCGCCATGCACTCTGATTCACCATATAGGACACCCCTCTCTGCACTTCTACGCCGTATTTTGATAGATTCTCAGCCAAGAACAGGCAAACTCTTGTCATCGCCAACCCAGGATGCTGCACGTAAGGCCCAGGCCCTGGCTTGGCTTCTGTCACAACCAATCCCCTTGGAAAAGTTGCAAGACACAGTTAGTGGGATGGCTGGTTTGCCATTGAGTCAAGCAGTTCAACAGGAATTGCATTATGGCCCCACTACCTCAATGCTGTGCACATATCTGGCAGATGAAATTGCCACAAGACAGTCATCAGATTTCTTGATCCATCTGTTATTTGCCCTGCTTCACATTGTGCAGCCTATGACAGATAAGAGTTTGGCAAGCTCTGAATCCATAGAATCTCTCAAGCATCTAGTTGGCCACGATGGTCTTCTTGGAGCTAATAAAGATCTGCCATTGAATATTCAAGCACCAGCCCTCTGTGTTCAAACTGCAATCATTCAATTTCTCGATGATCATGATCTTCTTGTTGAGAGTTCACAAATTTTTTCATTGAAGATTCCGGCAATGATCTTGTCCACTGCAGATCAGTGCCTAGCTCATGTTTTTAAAAAGCTTCACAATCAATCTATGCAAACCAATCACAATTTCAAACATACAACCTGGTTGTCAGAGCTTCAAGATAAGCAGCTATATGATGAAACCTGGGACATGCTGAAAAGATTGGTACAATTTGGTCAGCTTTCATTCCAGGACTAGATTTATGAGCTCATATCACATTAGGTGAAGCTACACCTCTCTCAAATAGGATTTTACAGCATCTTGATAAACTGTTACAAACAGGTCATACTGGCATTCAGTTGTCAGCATTACAACTTCTCCATCTTTATGACCAAGCCGATATTCTAGTTTTTGTAACTACAGATAACATCAAGATCATTATCAATTTAGTATCCACCTTTAGGTTCAACACCCTGGATCAAGAAGTTTTAAGATTTCTCCAGAAACATGGTGGGAAATCCTATTCTTTAGTTGTTGAAAGGCTTACACAAGGTTAGTGACTATTGTTCAAAGTTCTCTATCAGAGAAATTTCGCCCAGAGGATTGTATCAATCCCCTTATACCTTTACTTGATAGCAAGACACATCAAACAGTCATATCTGGAGTTGAATGTCTGATGACTCTAGCTAAGGATGGTAAGATACAAATCTTACAATTGCAATGTATTGTCTAACATTCTAGCAAATTTATTGTCCTTTATCATTGATAACCACATATCTTCATTTTTGAAAGCAACTCTTCGGTGCAGCTCAAGTACACAAGTGGTGGAAGCAGTCAAGGAATTTCTCTCAAATGGTAAGTAAAAATGGATATTGAGCTATCAGTTTCATTCCATTACTAAGATATTTTTCAAAGATATCACTTGTTTACAGATATTTGGGTCACCGGCTGCCCAAATTCTATTAGATCTATTCACTCAGGACCAGGATCAAATTCAACCATCTAAGTCAGAAGATCAGTCATCAGAGAATATTCAACAGATGGCAATTCTCTGGATCACTTTAGTATTCCCCTGTGGTATGCATTTATATAAACTAAAAATGCTGACTTATATGCATTTTACAGCAATCAAACATGGCCAGAATGTATTGATTTCCCAGAGTACAATTCTTGGTATATTACAAACATCAAGCTCTCCAGATGCACTTCTCTCTTGGCTTGAACAGCTGTATATAAAAGGTATTTCTTGCAGCTAAATTTTACTATAGCACGCTTCTAATGTTTATGGAGGCACCTTGGAACAGGAAAAGAATGTCATGTTTGCAGTTCTTGAGATAGCTATGGATGCTACAAAAGCTATTAGCTTTCCACAGTATATTATCACTCTGATGAAATCCATGCTACAGTTAGCTGGTAATGATTAGATGGCACTGTAAGTTAATTATCTCTAACATGTCTTATAGACTCTGCAATACATCAACAACCAACAGAGGTGACAAATGCAATTATCAAGATGATAGAGTCATCCCCTTCAAATGCACTAGTCTTTCTGAAAGCAGTATTTGGTCAGTTAAGTACTATTCACCAAATGATCTTTTATTAATTAGGGGGGATTATAGGATCCTCCAGTTCTAATGATTCATCACTCTATATCAATACTATGGTTCTAAATTCTCTGGTTACACAACTCTCTGCATCAGGCTACTGGCTACATCAAATCAGTATTCTCGGATTAGCTGAGTATATATTCAAAACCAGTAGGAATACCTTTCCATATCTATGCAGTTATGAAGCTGATATGTGTAGCTGCAGATGATTCTTTGGATATTGAACATAATCTGTTAGCTACTAAGATACTCAGGCTTATTGTGGATGAATATGAAGATGATGATGTTCGGTCTGCTGCTATTCATTGTCTTCAGATTGGAATAGAACAAGGTTCATAGAAATTTTTGGTTTTTGGGAATATTGTTAATCATCATCATATAGATATCTATGTTGGAACAGTTCTGGCAGTGGATAAAATGAAATCCTTACTGTTGGATAATCATCCAGATGTCAGACAATCAGCAAGCTGGCTCTTAATTGCTTCAATGAAATCAAAATGTCTGTTATTTTTATATAAAAAGTTCTCTATCTGATTCCCTATAGCTCACTTTGATATCCTTGATATAATTGAGCTGGTATCTGATCTTCAAAACAAAGCAGCCATACAAAATACATTGCAAGCTCAAATAATAAATATTAGAGTACATTTGCTAGACTCTGGTATATTTCATTATACTATTAAGAAGATAATAGCTTAAAGGACTAGGTTCTCAAGGGTTCCAATCTTTACAGGAGTTTGTAAAATTCACAGAAAATACTTCATGGCGTATTCGAGAGATAACAATCAAGTCAATTGTAAAATTCTTGAAGAACCATGGTATGTGTTATAGCAGTGGATAAATACCTATATATGACACTGTTTTAGATTCTGATGTCCAGGCACCTGACCTGACTGAAATCATTCTAAAGTTATCTTTAATGGCTTCTAAGGATGTAGACCAGGATGTTCGTTCTGTAGCACTTGAAGCACTGATGGAGATCATCCAGCTAAGTATGTTAATTGGCAACTATATATATAATATAACTTATACATATTTTTCAAGACTATGGTCCTAAGGAGGCTAAAGCTATTAGCGATATCATACACTTGAATATTGAGGCATTAGAGGATGACTATGCAGTTGTGCGAGGAATGGCAAAAACAGC